TACTGCTACTGCTACTGCTACTGCTACTGCTACTGCTACTGCTACTGCTACTGCTACTGCTACTGCTACTGCTACCGCTACCGCTGCTGCTGCTACTGCTACTGCTACTGCTACTGCTGCTGCTACTGCTACAACTATTCTACTGTTTCAGCTACTGGCTACAGTTACCGCTACAGCGACGGTTAGTGCCGCTGCTGCTGCCGCTGCTACTGTACTACTGCTGCTACTACGAATACGACGACGACGGTGACTACAGCCATCACCGGGTTGGTGGCGCATCATCTTCCCGTTCCCGAAGATCGCAGTCACAAAGTAAACCATAGCGAGCAGATATGTAGGATGATTTCAATTTGTAGTGACAGTGTACTGGCAACAGAGCATCGACGAAGAAGATAGCAACATTCATGTGCAAGTGCCCTCAACTGTGTTACATGCAACAATTTTGATTGCTTTTTCAACCTCGGCTCCGCCCAGCATGTTGCCCAAAGCTTGGCTCTATTCGTTTGAGCCAATGAATCTCGCACAGCATTTGTAAGTAAGTGTGTCAAAGTGGCGCCTACGGGGAAGTGATTGGCTTCGGCCAATATGCTCCGGTAGCATCTGCTTGTCGACTGATCCTCAACACACGGACACCAAGCAACTCTCAAAGCTCTGCGAGCTTCTCAAAGCGTCTGACTTCACATCTCGCGCCATAGTTTCGGTGGCGCTTCACCCCCCCCCCCAAGGATCCTTAGGTAAGTTTTTGACTGCTACGACTACTAAACTAAGACGACGACGGCGACGACGAGAACGACGAGCGCCACAAGTACTGGCAACATTTGTGTTTATATATAAGTATATATATATATATACATACATAGATAAACATAGATAAATAATAAATAGAAAGACAAATACATTGAATAATTAATCAGTTCATTGACTAACATACACATAAGTATATCTAAACAGACAAATACATATACATATATATATATATATACATGTATGCATGCTTATTTGTTTCTTCGTATTAGTGGTTATGACAGTACTATTCAGAACAATAGTGGTATTCACAATTGTAATGCGTCATCATCGTGATGATTTGTACAAGCAGCTCTTTCCAGGTGAGTGGTTTGCAGAGGCCGCCTTGTTTGCAGAGGCCGTCACGCACGACAGCACCCTCAGGCCCGTGATACTTCAAAACTCCACACCTCCTGACTGCTTTCCGTGTTCAGGCGTTTGGGGGTTCGTGCTTCGATCTAGTATTGCTTGGAGATGGTGAAAATCGCGCTATGTTTTATATTTTTGTGACTAGCTACCTGCCCTTGCTTTCCACACCCCGAATCTCCGTCTGTTGAACCTGTTCAATGCAGCTTCGATGCTTACCAGCTGCCGTTGCTTGCCCTTCTGAATCCTTGCTTCTTCAACTGCCGGGCTGCGCTACTCGCATCATTATGACCCCTGAGTTCTCGTTCTGTACCAATCAAGTCGAAGCAGCCAAAGAGACTCTGATGATGACCGGCAGTAGTTGTGAATGGCCATGAGTCTGATCTCGGCAACGATGATGGTGATAATTAATGCTGTTCATCACCATCATCATCATAATAATCATCATCATTATCATCATCATCATCATCATCCGATGTTATGTTTGCTACTACGATTCTGAGATAACTATTGTCTGGCCGCAGTCCACAAACCTTGAACCTCCAAGATTCTTCGCAGGTTTTTGACTCAGGATCCTTCTCTGCAGGGTCTCTCTTGGTCTTGCATCTCTCATTTCTCGATGTCAAACATGAGCCATGTGCCCTGAGTCATGCAGGCCACTGACCTTGCACATTCCCCGACTCGCGATGGGTTAGAAAACGGTTTGGGGGTACATTCTCATGCTAAACTAGTTTGATCTCTACATACAATCCTACAGAACCATAGAAACCCCTTGTCGAACCCTTTGACAGAACCTCGAAGGGGACCCCTTCAGGAACCTAAGTCCTGTCTTGATATACTATAGGGGGCCTTAATATTTAGAGTGGGTTTTGGGGCCCATTGTACTATTATTAGAATAAGTAACCCCCAAAATATTATGGGTAATTATTTAGGCTCCTACATTATTCAGACCCCATAAACAGCTGGAGCCTGCGCAAAGGGCGGAGACCTTTGGTGAAGCGTTCAGCCTCAAGGGGGCTGCGCTTGTCCGTACGCTGATGAGCTCCGGCCGCAATAGCCTCGTTTGTTGGAGGGAATAGGGTTTAGGCTTTAGGATTTAGGGTGCAGTCCGTTTTACGTCTGTTCAGTGGAGTTTGCACGGTCCCTTCCTCGTGCGACTACGGATACCACACAGGCTGCCTTTTATCAGTTTCGGTGCAGTGCTTGTTGGTTCCCAATGCTTAGCTTTAGCAGCAAGCGTCGTAGGCTTTGGGGTTGGGGGCTTTGGTGGGTTGATGTCGGGCTGTCAGCCGCTGAGTCTGAGGTTTATCCATGGTCCCTGTAAAGCATGAGGGCTTTAATATTCACAGGGCTGCAACGGCAGCGCGAACATGAAGCTGTGTGTGTCTGTGTGTCCCTTAGGGGTATTGATGTTTGTGGCCATTGGGGCACGAGATCAGTGTGTTGTGAAGCTTTGTCGGGATGGCCAATGTTATCTGGGCATGGACTGTGCATCGAAGCTTCCCGAACAAGAGATTTTGCAATTACACACCTAGTTCGGGACACCTGCACTTTTTGTGCACTGTATATGCATGACATCACGGAAAGCCCAAGCCACATGTTTCCTTCGAACCAGAGCAGGATCCGAGGGCTTGCCCCGTGCATGTGCACACCCTGGGTCGCGCCGCGTCTGAGGTATGAAAGAGAGAGCGTCCGAGGGGAAGGGAGGGAGGGGAGTGAGCGAGGGAGGGCCACCTGAAATCCCATGCGAGCTTCATGATCTTGAACACATGAAAACCTAAACCTCAAACCTCCGGTTTAGGGTTTAAGTTTTTTCTATAAATCCCTGAATCCATTGATGCAGTGCACTCCCCAAGCGAGTCGTGCAATCGTTGGCACGAATGAATGCGTTCTAAGGAACTCTCCGGCCTGCACTGCAATGGTCTGTGAGTACGGCAAGGTGGGACGTTCTGCTTTGTGTGTTTTCAGGTCCCTAGTTTAACCCCGCAGCCACTAAACCTCGAAACCTAACCCTGTGCAGCACGATAGTTCTGCAAAGACTAAGCCCCCCTAACTGTCAGCTGCGCATCATCCCCGGTTAAACCTCTAATGCCCTCTGAAGGCAGGCATATCTAGGGAGGATGGTTTGGAAGGGACGGAATTTGTCTGCCTTCATTAGTGGCGTCGAACCCCTGTCCATGCCCTACACCTGGATCTTCACGGCAGGATGTCTGTTGCTGTGTACCTATGATTGTTCAGTGACAGGACTCAACATCATGCCGAAAATGTCATTAGTCCTGTGAGTACAGTTAAAAGAGACCATATTGCGGCTATGGCATCCTGCTGATAAGCGCATTGACGATCTTCTCACTGTAAACCCTAGGCCCTGAACCCTAAGCCCTCTCAGCTTCACTGTATCGCGAGGACCTCCTCGCGAAGCTAAGCCAGTCGAAAAGAACTTCCGGCGAGACGAACTGCACGTACAAAGTTGCGGAGGCATCCGGCAGTTCGGGTTTAGGGCTTGGTCTGGGTTTGGGCTTCAGGGGTCTTCTCCGGTCTAGGGCTTAGTTGGGATCTGGGCTGTACGGATCTCCTACAGTGGTTGCTTTGGGGCTGGGCTTCAGCTCTTGCATTCAGCGTGCAATGTTGAAGGCGGGAGAGAGAGGTCCTCGTCATGAGAAGACTGCAAGGGCCGACAGAGTGGCTCGTGGTTAGGAGTTCGGAGGATATTAGAGTTTGGGAGTAATGATAATGGTGGACTGGGGTCTGGGCTTTGATTCTACCGTCAGCGGACCGAGGCCTGAAGTCTCTTTGGTGTCGCTCTGAATCCTGCCTTTCCGGCTAGGGCATCTCTCGCCAGTGCCTCAAGCAGCACCTTGGCTGGACTGTGGTTTCGGGTTTTGGGTTTAGGACATCCAGCGATCGACGTCGAAGCTTTTCGGGGCTTTCATGCTTTGGTGTGGTCATCATGCTCGATTACCCAGAGGGTCCAAAGATACTACCATTATGGAATTTGACACCAAAAGACCATTCCAATCATGGTTTTGGGGACCCAATTCCATGATCGTAGTGTATATGCACCCTCTTGATCAGTGCAGGAGAGACATGTTTGCTCCACGCTACGTACCGACTTCATGGCTGCAGCAGTTCAAGCTATGATAGGTGGAGGTCCTCCCATCTACGAGCAGATTCTCCTAGACCCCCCCCCCCCAGCTACCCTCTAATATACCCTAAATACCCACTATTCAGGACCATCAGGGCTCCATAGTGGGTACATGGGGGCTCCTGGCTGAGTCGAGGGGTCCTGCTGCCCAGGAATTCCTTCTACCAAGCCTTTCATCCGGACCCAAGAACTGCTTTGGATGACTTCGACCTCTTCAAGGATGTACTGGGTTTAGGGTCTAGGGTTTCGGGTTTAGAATTTTTTGGGTTTCGGGTTTAGGATTCATGGTTTAGGATTTCGGGCTTAGGGTTCATAGGGTTTACGGTTTAGGGTTTATGGTCGGGTTCCTTCGTCCGATTATTCCCATTCCGTGGCAAGTGGCAGAATTCTTGCGCTGCACTTTGCTGTTTTATACCGGATACGAAGATTTGATGATAGCATACTTAAGTATACTCAAATCCTCGAGACACTGCACGAAGGCCCGAAGCGTGGCCGAGATGTTTGAGGAAGTCTACAGAGTTGTGTGGAGCTTCGCGGTTGTTGGCGCAGGGTTTACGTTGGTTTGGTGAATGAGCTGGTCACGTCTCGAATTAATGAGAAGGGTCCGTTTAGGGTCCGTACCAAAAGAGTGAAGTACCCTTTTTCGCGAAGCGACCCTAACTTTGGGCCTTTATCTGTGAGCAAAATCGGGCATGGAGGTGGGAACTCGGCTAAACAGCTAAATGTCGTTCCCTGAAATCCTAGAAATCCTCAAAGTCCCCCTGAGTGTCCTAACATACTGTAGACTAAACCCTGACCCCTAAACCCCAAATGCACCCAATTACTTCCTAAGCTCCCTCGCTTGAAGTGTGTTTCTGTCGTTGCCTTACCTAGCGATAGCCCAGAGCCATCACCCTAAAACCCCGAACCCTAAAGCGTGTTCCAAGGAGCACCGGGCCAGCGAGTACCAGAAAGAGGACTCGACGAAGGAGGAATCGGTGTTCGGCAACGTCAAGAACGAAGTTGCACGAAGGACTGTCTTGCCCTAACCCTTAACTAGGTAGGCCTTTGGGAGATTTTGTATGTGCCCTAATTGGGTCTAAGAGGATCATATGTACGAATATTGTTCAAACGCTCTAAAGAGCCAACCTATAGTTAAGTTGATCCGCGGAGCCAGGAACCAGATATTGAATCACACACATAAGTGATAGGATACCTTTTGAAAGGAGTTCGTTAGATCCTTGATGCTGCGATGGACAAAACCCTGCATGACGAGAAGGCCATCAAATCCATAGCTTTGATGCATTTGGGTTCGTGCTTCAGGTGAGTCAGGATCAGCAGTAGTTTATGCCCTCCCTCAGCCTAGAAATGCTCACTAACCTTCGGCTGTTGAAGCTGATAAAGAGAGAAAATAAGATCCCAAGACAAAAACGGAAACCCAGCACAACTCCAAAGGCCTAAATGGAAGCATTATGGGGCTCTGAAGAATTTGGTAATTAAGAGTATCCATCTGTAGCCCCGGTACATTCTACTACATTTGGCATCCAAGCCCTATCCTTATCATTAAGGCTCCCTTGTAAACGTGGCCCTGAGCTCTACACGATCTAAATCTTGAATCTAAGGCCGAAACCCTACACCGTAAACTCCAAACCCTAAACCCTAAACTTTAAACCCACACCCTAAACTTGAATCCGTCGATGGGGTCGTCGGCTCGGGTAACCTGGACTGTACCGGAACCCTAATCCCAAAACTACAGTTTAGGCTTTGCAGGACACTGATCAGATCCCAAGCCTGGACTTGAGACCGAAAAGAAGAGACTGTCAGGATGCTTCGAAGGACCAGCAAGCAGGCAGTAGAGCCTGCGGTGCGCTCGGCCTATTTGCGCTTAGTGTAGTTGTCTGAACAAGTAACTAGGAGCAAGATCCTACGCCAGGCCCGATGCGTCAACACCCGGGGCCGAGGGTTTGAGTGGTGTGATTCAGGGCTTTTGGGTTGGGGGTTCTGGCTTACAGTTTTCGGGCTTCAGGGTTGGGATTTAGTTAGTCGTGTCGGATTTAGTGAGCCACAAAAGGGCGCGGGGTGCATGATGGAAAGACCAAGACATGCAAAACCAAATTTTGTTGAGATGGGAAAGGCTTCCACAAGTTGATCTCCAAAGTTCAGCTACGTAGCTTGATACAGACATCGAACAGCAGAATGCCAATCACAGACTGAGATATTGCTCAATTATGGGATTTGGGGATCGCTTTGTTCATCCATTGACTTGGTGATTCTGCCCTCTCAAAATGCCAGCCAGAGCGTCACGTCAAACTGGGCTGCAGATGCTGAGATGGTGATCCCGCATGCACAGATCCGGAGAAACACCAAGCGTGTTCCAGGTGTGGGATGGTGCATCAAGGGCTTAGGCTGTCAACTAACAGGCCGACCATGGAAGTCACCTTAATCGACAAGATGGGAAGCCGGCTTCCACCGCCAGAAGATGTTGGCCAGGCCGTCTTGGTTGAGGAGGCTGAAACGGAACCCCAGAATGACAGGAACTGCCTCTTGGCTGTTTGGCAATCGTGAATGCACTTCCGGCTTCGATCTAATTAATTACATGAGCTCATTCACAGCATCTGTCAGGAACCGTGGAATGATGTTAATTTGTTGATCTTGAGAGCTCAACCCATACCTGACACTCAGATCACCTCCTAAGCAGCTCCTAAGTTATGTATTTTGAGCAGCAAACCCGAAGCCAAGAGACCTAGTACCCTAGTGTAAAGGTTTCAAGTGAGAGTTCCCCATGCATAATGAATACCACACCCTCAAACCCAAAAGCCGAAACCCAAAACTCTGAACCCCTAACCTTGGGGCGCCTGCCGAATTGCAAAGCAAGGAAGGATAACATCGAGGTAGGAAATATAGGGTTATAAGGGTCTAGGGCGAGAATCGAAACAGGAAATAGTGGGTTTAGGGTGTAGGGTGGCATCTCGTAAAGCTTGGAATTTGCCCGGCATGGCGAGGATTCGTTTCCCGAAGCCCTAAACCCCAAACCCTAAACCCTAGGCCTGCGAATCCTCAGCGCTGAACCCTAAACGGGCTGGGTTTTTTT